AAATATCCGTGCCCGCTGCTGCCCGCGCACTCGCCTCCTCCGCCGCCGCCTCGAGCGCCCCCGCGTCCGCCTCGGCCGCCGCCGCCGCCAGCCCGCCGCCGCCCGGCGGCGCATTAGTCCTATCCGCCGCCGCCGCCGCCGCCGCCGCCGCGGCTCGCGCCGCATCGCTGGACGCCGCGTCCGCAGCGACCAGCGCCTCCGCCGCCTTCTCCGCCTCGCACGCCGCCGCCGCGGCTCGCTGCGTCGACGCCGCCGCCGCCACCGCGCCACCAACGAGCGAGAGCGCTGCGGCCGCACCGCCGGCAGAGAAGGCCGCCGCGCTGGCGTACGAAGTGTAGCACCTTCCGATGGCGTGGAGCAGCAATCACTACTAGTACAATAGTAATAATAACACGAGTGGCGTACGAGGCAGCACCTTCCGATGGCGTGGAGCAGCCGCAACCCGAACGCGCTCTGCGACAGGCCCTCTGCGAACCGCGCCTATCTCGTCCCGTATCTCGTCCGTATCTCGTCCGTACCTCGTCCGTATCTCGTCCATACCTCCCACCTGGTCCTCACACCACGCCTCCTCCCGCCCCGCCGCTGCGTCGAGCCTCTCCGCCAGCGCCACCGCCACCTCCGTCTCCCGCCGCCGCTGGCGGAACGCGGCCTCGGCGCTGCCTATCTCGCGGCTGCCCTGCAGCGCCTGCTCCGGCAGCGGGAACGAGTCATCATAGTCATAGTAATGAGAATAATAATCGTGGCGTACGATGAGTAGCACCTTCCAGTGGAGCAGCAATCAGAACTACTACTGCTACTGCTACTGCTACTACTAGTGCAGCGCCTGCTCCAGCAGCGGGAACTTGCCGACCAGAGGGTCGAAGTCGGCAGACCCAAACACGGTCTGGAAGAGGCCGACGGCCGAGTCTGCGCTCACCCCGCCGTCGCGCGTCGCCTTTGCGCCCGAGCGGTCATAGTTGAGCCGCGCGTCGGCGTCGCCAAGCACCTGAAAAGCGTCAACTCCTCATTCTTCCTCAGTGGTCACTGTTCATTATGCGTCGGCGTCGCCAAGCTCCTGGTACGCCGCCGTCACAGATTAATTCTTCATCAGCCGCCACTAGTCTTCTTCTCATTATTATTAAGCACCTGGTACGCCTCGGCGACACGAGAGAAGGCCTCGGCCGCGTCGGCGCCTGGGTTCTTGTCTGGGTGGAGGAGGAGGGAGCGCGTATAGTACGCGCGTCGGATCTGCGCCGCGCTGGCGTCCGGCGCGACTCCGAGCTCGTCGTACAGCGCCGTGTCGACGCAGGGAGGGCGGGAGGAGGAGGAGCCGCCCTCTCCGCCGCCGCCGCCGCCCGCAAAGGAGGAGATGTCGACGGCGCGGACACGGGCGGCGTCCTCATCCAAGCGATAGTCCACGTACCGCGCCGCCTCCGCGCTCCACTCCTTCCCCGCCACTGACGCGGCGATGGCGGAGGGCGTGTTGACCGCGCCGACAACGACCGCGGCCGCCGCAGCCGCCGCGCCGGCTGCCGGAAGGACGACCGCTGCAGCCACGCCCGCCGCCGCGCCCGCTGCCGCGCCGGCCACGCCCGCCCGGCGGGCGCCGAGGACAGGCGCAGCGACGAGCGACGCCGCGCCTGCGCCGAGGCCGGCGAGCACCGAGCCGACTCCCGACACGACGCCGCCGGCGAGGCTCGAGGGGCCCTCAGGGAAGGGACGGCGGCCGCCCTCCTCGTCGGCCGCGTCTGCTGCTGCTGCGCTCGAGGAGGTTTGGGCGTGCATGCCGGAGGACGGAGCGACGGTGGGCAGGTTTTACGCGAGGAGGGCTGAGAGCTCTCTCCGTCAAGGTCGCGGCCGTGTCGAGAGCGGCCCCGCAACACACACCCTACCCGGCTCGGAACCGAACCCCATGGTGGGATAGAGCCGGGCATTCTCCGCCCGCCCTCCCGCGCCGCACACGTGCCACGCCTCCAGAGCCCAGGCCGGCATCGACACCACCCAGCCTCCTCCTCCCTCCCAGCCTCCTCCCTCGCCGCCGCCCGCAAGCCCCCGCAGCGCAACCTTGAACCTCGCGCCGACGCGGAGCGGCACGAGCAGCGTCGTGTCGTCGTCCCTCACCAAGGCCTCCCACACCCCTCCGCCGACCTCCTCGCACGGGTGCGCCGTCACGTCCCATCCGTTGAAGTCACCGACGAGCGACGCGGCGGCAGCCGAGGGCGCCCACTCGCGAAAGCGCCAGCCGACCGCGTCGCGATGCAGGCCGAAGTGCCGCAGCCCTCGCTCCACGCAGAAGTGCCGCAGCCCTTCCGCGGAGCCCTCAGAGGGACGACACTGGCCGTCACCGCCACCGACGCCACCCTCGGCACAGAGCGAGTCGAGCGCCTCGCGAAAGCGGAGGCGTCGGCGGCGGATTCGGGCCCGGAGGAGTCTGCCAGCAGCGGGTCGGCGACGATCCAGTCGGGGTAGTCGGCGTTGGAGCTGAGAGCAACCACGCCGTCGAGTGCCGCCGATATGACAAATTCTTTTTTGGCCGTCAGAAAGAAAGAAAGAAAACAGAGAAGGAAGAGAGGGATGGGAGAACGGCACGCCGCCACCACACAGGGATTTTAAGGAGAGGAGTGTGGTGCGCTAGCCGTCGCCCACCCTGGGGAGTCTGCCTCTTCGTATCTTGGCCGTCATAAATAAATAAATACAACGGACACGCCAAACGAGGGGTGGGAGAAGGACAGGGTCCCCACCTGCACGAGCAGGATCTTGTAAGGACGAACCCGGGAATATACCTACAACCCGGGGGGACCATTTTCCCGAATTCTTTTGCCCGGTGCCAATGAAAGAGACACAGGCCTCGCAAGAGCGATCCTTGTGGTCGCTCGCGCTCCGAGAGCTCGCGGGCCTCAATGAGTCCGCGGTGTCGGTGCGGTGAGTGCGCCGGCTGCCTGGCTACGGAATGCGGAACCTGCCGCGAGTGCCTTGACCGGCCGCGGCTTGGCGGTAAGGGCGTTCGCAAAAAGCTGTGCCGCCGTCGCAAATGCCAAAACCCTCAGCACGCAGGGCGTATCCATGTCGCCGCCGCTCCCGTGTCCTCCGCCAGCCCGCTCCCGCTTGACGCAATGCTGCCTCAGCTTCTCCAGCAGGCGCGAGCGCACCTCTCGCGGCTCAGGCGCCTCCCTGCTCCACGCGGCTGCCTCGTCGCCTCCATCCGGGCGTCCTCCGCCTCCGCTTCCGCCTCCGCTTCCGCCTCCGCCGCCTCCTCCTCCTCCTTCGCCCCTGCCTCCGCCTCCTCGTTTCCGCCCTCGGCCGTCCCCGGCTGCTTCTGCGCCCTCCCAGCCAGCCCGGGCGCCTTCCAGGCCCTCGCTGTCCCTGACGCCGCCGCCGCCCCCGGCGGTACGCTCCAGCGCTGGCAGGCAGGTCTGCTCACACCCGTGCGCTCCCCGGCCCCCCCGCACTTTGGTGGAGCCGTCGGGCTGGGGACATGCAGAGAGATGGGACTGCGGTGGGCTAGGGACATGGAGAGAGATGGAACCGCGGTGGGATTGCGAGAATATCCCGGCCTCTGCACCAGAGCTGCAGACGACCCCCCTCCCCCCCTCCCGCTCCGCCTCTTAGGCCGAGCGGGGTCTCTACCTCCAGCCGCCGTCGCAGTCGCCGTCTCCGGCACGCGGGGCGGGGAGCCGTGCCGGTTGCCGCTGCGCAGCCGATGGGACGAGCTGCTCGCCCCCGCAACCCGCGAGGGCGGCTCGGAGGAGCATCGAGCCACTGGCTGTGGCGGCGGGCCGCTGGCGGCGGTGCCGCTGCGACGCGAGTCGGCGGGCGGCGGCGCGGCGGCCGCCTTCGCCCCTAGCACGGCTACTCTTGCACGCGCACTCGAGACTGCAGCCAGCCCCGCGCTCGCCGCGCCGCTGCTCCCCGCGCTCGCCCCGACTCTCGCCCCGACCTTGGCCTCCGACGGCGGCGCGGCCCTCGCCGCCGCACCCTCCGCCGCCGCGCCCGGGCGGGCACGGCGTGCTACCTGGAGGTAGGGTGTGGACGGCGCCTCTTCACGGCACGCGTGCTGTGAGCAGGTGGGGCGCCATCGTCGACGAGTGGGCAACGAGCCTAGATGCGTATTGTGCACTCCGATTGGCACTCGAAACGACACACATTCGGCGGGTATGCAGCCGTACTTAGCTGCTCTCGTACGGCGCTGTGGATGCTCTCGGAACTTCGCGTTCCCGCCCTGACTGTGGCGTCCTATTGAGGTCAGGCAACCGAGTTGGACCTGCTGGAGGGGACCGGTAAGTGCCATGCGGCAGACCCGGCGGCACTGCCCTCGCCGCTCCCCTCGCCGCCGGAGCCTGCCCCTCCTCCTGGAGGGAAGGGCACCGTCGCGCGCGATGCCTCCCCCCCCCTCCGCAACACCCGCATCGGCGCCCTTGCCCTCGCTGCCGGGGGCGTGCTCGCAGCAGTGCAGTGGGGCAGCGGCGACGGCGCGCCACTGCATGCCTCGAGCCCGCCCTCCGTGCCGCCGCCCTCCATGCCGCCTTCGCCGCCGGCCATGCGCATCCCACTGCGTCTGGACGTGGCACAGTACAAGCCGGTCCAGCTGTCGCTCGCCCTCGCGGTGATGTTCGCCGCTCGTCTCGCCGAGCTCGACACCACCAACCCCTCCGGCCTGCTCGCTGCCGCGGGCTTTGGATTGCTGGCCCTCGCCAACCTGGCACAGGCCTCGCCTCGCTTTCTCGCGCGCGCGATGACCCTGGTTCTCGTGTGCGCCCCGACTCTGCGTCTTGTCAGAGTCCTTGTCCGCTCGCCGGAAGCGATGGCCCGTGACCTCGACAAGCTCGCAGGCATTGGGCGTTGCGTAATCACGATGGCTACAGCGACCGGCGCCGCTTTCGGAGCTCTGCCACCCTCTGCCCTCCCTCCGACCCGCAAGCTACTCGCAGTGGGATACTGCGCTTGCGCGTCGGCATGCGTGAACGTGATCCTTCGTGTCCGCACGGGCGACGAGAGCGCGCCCTCCTTTCACCTGCTGCACATCGTCCTCCCCTTCTTCGCGTCCTTCCTCGCGGCCCATGCAGCTTCGCGCAGCAGCTTCGGGCAGAACGTGGCGCGGCAGAACGTGGCGCGGCTCGCGTCCTTCTTCGCGGCCCAGCGAGGAACGCGACCGCACCGGCGCGTTTTCGCACGGCGTTCTCGGGGTGCCTGCGCCCGCTGCTGCTCCATGCGGCACGGATGAATTGATAGGCCGACCGCCGCCGTGCAGCTCGAGATGGGCTGCCCGCTGAGCACGCCGCCGCTCAAGATCGCGGTGGGCGTCTGCTGCGGGCTGATGGGTGGCCCCGCCTCTTGCGCTCCATCACCCTCTCCCAGTTCTGTCCTTGAGGTGGTGTATAGATAGTGGTAGCTGCTGCACGAACGTACGGTCCTCGAGGAGTTGTACGTTTCTCGCGTCAGTGTTCTCGTGTATCTGTAGAGCGTGTGTCCATTGTGTGATTACGTCGTACGTGAGATAGATTGTTTAATAATAGGGGAGAGAGAGAGGCTTGGTGGACCGTTACACATTCCTCTTTTGTGTGTGTGGTTTGTGTTTTTGGGGCAGGAACTCTGGGGGGAGGCGGGGGTCCTAGAGGGTATCCATGCGGGGGGGAGATGGGGTCCCACGGCCCGCCGCAGGCGCCGATTTTTGGGGACTTTTTTTCTTTTTTGCGCGATTTTTTACTTGTTTTCAAGGAATTCGCCGGTCTGCGGCCATGCTATCACGCCTTGCGACAGCCTGTCGGCGCTGCTGACCGTGCCCTGCTGCACAATTGACCACCTGCATAGCTCGCGGCCTTAGTATCCACCGTTCAGTGACGACCTGATCGTACGGCCAGTAGGAAGGTGTCCTTCCAGCGCGTGCACGCTTCTGACGGAATGCGCGTCACAAACTGCCTCGGCGACTGGCTGCTGGCACTCTCGAGGCTATGCCTACACAGCCTCGCGCGCATGGGCAGTCAAGAGGGACCATGCACTTTCTCAGGAGAGCGCCGGTGCCTCTCTCTTGGACCGGCAAACTTGGTGGTCTCGTGTCACCAATGTGGGACCAGTGCGGCATCGCGCCATCGACAGCTCTGAACTGCGCCTCACCACTGACCGGGAAGGCCGCCAAGTGGGCCAGCACCGGTCACACATTGTGGCAGCAGTCAGCAGTTATCTGATAGCTAGAGCAGCAGCGTCAGGGTCGCAGGGTTGGATCATGTCAAGCCTCTCGCCCGGCCGGCCGCGTGCAGACGTCGGCCTGTCTGCTGTCTGGAGTGATCTGTCGGCGGTCAGTACGACCGATCAGGTCGGAGTTTTCTGATGGTTGGAGGGTCTATCTGTATGTACTCCTCGAGATCTTTCCAAATCTGCCCTCTGATTAACCTAGCTTAATCGGGAAGTCGGTGCTAGCGGAGACTAGCGGAGCCGGAGCCCCGTTTCCGCACTGCACTGCGCGGCGCACGGTGCCTCCGGGGGCCCCCGCCTCCCCCCAGAGGGCAGGAAAAGGAAGAAAAGAAAAGATTCCGCATTAGGGAAGGAGGGCGGATGCGGGGATGGGGGTTGGGGGAGACAGCACACATTTTGCCCCTTCTTCTTTTCTAAAACAGTGTCTTTTCTTTCTACTTCCGTGCCCAGTGTCGTGCGAGCAATTGTAAAATTCTTTTTACTTCGCTCTCGTCGGGGGCGGGGGGTTGTTCTCGGCGGGCACTCTCACCGCCGCAACCCTGCAATGCCGCGCTCGGACTACCAGTTCAAGTGCGTGCTCATTGGTGACAGCGGTGTGGGGAAGACGTCGCTCATTCGTACCTTTGCCACCGGCGGCTCGCCGCTCTCCGCGCCCTCGGCCGGAGGCGTCGACTTTGCCACCAGGTGCCTCTTACGGCACGGCACAGCTTCAAGCGGGAGGCCCTCCCCGCTGAACAGTGCACCCACACCTCTCACCATCCCCTCCCTCAAACCCTCCTGGCTATCCAGCCCCTCCCGGTCCTAAGCGCGCCGAGCCTGCCCGCGCCGCGCCGTCTCGCTGCAGGCAACTGGAGCTCAAAGGCAAGACGGTGGAGGCGCAGATGTGGGACACGGCCGGCATGGAGCGGCACCGCGCGGTGACGGCGGGCTTCTACCGCGGCGCCGGGCCTTCGTCGTCTTTGACCTCACGAGCCACGCCTCATTTGGTGCCCGATCAGTGAACATGCAACTCTAAGACATGCACTGCCACCGAGCAATCCTCGCCGCCCATCGTCCCCGCCCTGCAGGCCACTGCGAGAGATGGTTGAGGGAGCTACGGGCGCACCGGGCCGAGGGCGAGCCGCACCTTCCCCTCGTCATGATGCTGCTCGGCACCAAGGCTGACCTGCGCCGGAGGCGCGCCGTCGACGCGCAGGACGCAAAGGAGTTTGCTCAGCGGCACCGCCTCCTCTATGCCGAGTGCTCGTCCAGCGACGCCTCGGAGGTGTGCTTGCGTTGACGAGGTGACCACCTCTCGCCCCGAATCCCCGTTCCGCCACACTAGGTTAACCAGGCCTTCGAGAGGGTGTTGGCTGAGGTGTTCCGGAGGGTGCGCAAGAGCATCGAAGCGGGCCGATGCAACCCAGACCGGCCAGCGCCAGTGCTCATCAATACGGTTCTGCTTACGCCCGCGCAGCAGGCGCGCGATGAAGGCCGGGCTCAGGCCGCCGGTGGCTGCTGTTGAGTGCGTTGTTGAACGCTGTGTGGTTGTGGCTTGCTCACCCATTGCACACACATCTCTGACCCTTGTTGCTGGTACCTTCCTGTGTCCTGAGCCCGTCGCTCGTGGCTCTCTAGTCTCTCTTCTCAGCGCTGACGCTGTGCGAAAAAAACCATCTCTATTTCTCTACACCATCATGCGTGGGACGTATGAGGCTCTCCCCGACACGCCAGATACCGTACTCGCGAAGCGACCGTAGGCTCGCCCGATAAACCGGCACGCGCTAGTAGCGCGTGCACACCAACTGCTTCTCCGAAGGGGAGAGAGAGAACCGCGTTGCACGGAAAAAGGGTGACGCCGTCGGCGCGCTCGCTTTCGCAGCGCGCCGCAGCGCATCCTCACTCGAGGGAGAAGACGCCGATGTCCTCATACGGAGGTGGGTCGGGCCACTCCTCTGGCACCGCCTCACATGGCACCCACGCCTCGCCCTTGCCCCACGCCCGCAGCTCTTTGGTGCGGGCGACCTGCTCATTCTTCTCCTTCGTCTCGACAAGAACCTCCTGCCTCACCGATGCGAGCAGCGAGTTTGGGATGCTGGTTCCGCGGCGGCGACGGTTGGGCATGGCCTGGCCCTTCACCTTGTCAGCCTCAAGGGCGCCATGTGCCGCCTCGACAAACGAGGAGAGATCGAAGCCAAGAAGTGGCGACGAGGCGCCGAGCTTTGCGTTCGTGCTGGATGCCTCGGGGCCAAGCGGAGACATCGCTCTCTGAGCTTGTGCGAAGAGAGGCCGGGATCCCCACGTGGTTTGACCGAGATACGGCCGCCGAGATCCCAACAAGTTGGAGGCCGCCTTGCCCGATTTTTTTCTGCCGTGCGACCATAAAAGAAGTCGCCCACTCTCGGCGTCTCTCTTCGTAGGTAGGTAGAAAGGTGAAGAACAGCCAGGCTGGGACTGGACACCAACGCGGTATGGGTGGACGCTAGACAGATGAGATGACGACACGCACGAGCGACACACAGACACAAACATGCTCACAAGACACACAGCCAGCGGGCTGCCACACACCCTGAGTAGGCGTACACATAACTCAAGCTCTCAAGGCCACATCCTCCCTGTCGCCCCCCCCAGCACTCCAAGGTGCCAAGAGAACAAACAAGGGCACAACAAACAACAGACAACAGGAAGTGACATGCGAGGCTAGAGCAGGCTTGCTCTACCTCCAGCAATCTCTCCGGCCGGCGGAGGCACGGACGAGACCGTGTGTGGGGTCTAGTGAGGTGTCTATGGACGCCCTCCTCAGAGGCTAGCTGCCTACGGCTAGCCCTGTCTCGCACTCACAGGTGATGACAATCCAATGTATGAGTGTATGCAAGCAGAGGCGCGTGTGCTAAATCTAGGCCGCACGTCGTGGCACTATGACGGAGGTAGACGTGCGACCGCAGCGCGCCCACCACAGTCTCGGTGGTGCGCGCGTGTTAGCGATAGAGTTCCGATGTTAAAAAGAAAAGGATGATTCAAATACAGCGGATTCGGACATCGCTCGGGATTCGGACATTGCTCAGGTCCAACCGCGAAGTTGGATGGTGGTCGACGCCCCTGCCAAACCGGTGCGCTTCGAGTTCAAAAACTGCTCCTACCGCGTGAAAGTGCGATCGGATGGACGGGGCCTGGGAAACACGCCCGCTTGCTGCGTCAAAACCAAGGACCGCTACCTTCTGCGCAACGTCTCTGCGTCGGTTTCGTCGGGCGAGGTCCTCGCCGTGATGGGCCCGAGCGGCGCGGGCAAGACGACGCTGCTGCGCATGCTCGCGCTCGAAAAGGGACCCGGCACTCCGTACGGGAATGTGACTCTCAACGGCCACGCGTTCACGCGCACGGTCTACACGGCGCACGCGGCGTCGGTCGAGCAGGAGGACTCGCTCTGGGCCTTCCTCACCGCGCGCGAGCAGCTCGAGTACGCGGTGCGCCTCTCGCGGCCGGCGCTGCGCTCGGCCGAGCGCGCCGCCGCCGTCGACGAGCTGCTCGGCGCCCTCGGGCTCGAGTCGTGCCAGCACACGCGCGCCGGCAACGCGCTGGTGCGCGGCCTGTCGGGCGGGCAGCGGCGGCGGCTCTCGCTGGCGCTGGCGCTGGCCAAGGAGCCGCTCCTCGTCTTCCTAGACGAGCCCACCTCCGGACTCGACGCCGCCGGCGCCGCCGCCGTCATGGCGCTGCTCAAGAGCGTCGCGCGCCGCGTCAACGCCGCGATCCTCTGCACGATCCACCAGCCCTCGTCGGCCGTCTTTGCCGGCTTCGACAAGACGCTCATCCTGTCGGGCGGGCGGGCGGCGTACTGCGGGCCGGCGAGCGAGCTGGTCGGCTACCTCGCCTCGATTGGCCAGCCCGTCCCCGCCAACACCAACCCGGCCGACCACATGCTGGCGATCGCAAACGCGGACTTCACCGACGCGAGCCTGGTCGAGGAGATAATCGCGCAGTGGAGCTCGAAGCAGCCTCCGCCGCAGACGGAGGAGGCCGACTGCGGCAGCGAGCAGCAGCCGGCGGGCGCGGGCGTGGCGACGCAGTTCGGCGTGCTGCTGCACAAGCACGGCCGGCTCCTGCTGCGCGACCCGATCATGTACAGCGCGCGGTGCGTCATCTTCGTCGTCATCTCGCTCTTCCTCTCGATCATCTACATCGACACGCGGAGGCGCGACTCGCAGGAGCAGCTCTTTCCTCGGCTGTTCCTCGAGGCGCCGACGATGGGCGCGCTCCCCGCAGCGGGGGCGGTGAACAGCGTCTCTTCACACCCCATCCGTGTGAACAGTGGTGGATCTCGAACATCGCGCCCGCCCTCGGGCTGCTCCCCCTCCTCGCCCAGTTCCTCGACCTCCAGATCCTCCGGCGCGAGCTGCGGGACGGCATCTACCACCCGGCCGTGTACGTCGCCGCGCAGACGCTGCTGCAGGCGCCAATTGGCGGTCGCGCGCTTCACACCCGGAGGCGGGCCGCGTCGCTCCACGCCCTCCCCCCTGTGACCAGGCGCCGATGATGTTTGTGCTCGCCTTTGCCAACTTGGTTCCCGTCTACGCGGTCGCGGACTGGCCGTGGGAGACCCTCGGTCTGCAGTGCGTCATCTTTGCGTTTACGCTCGCCGCCTTCGACTGCCTGGCGCAGGTCTGCTCGCTCGCCTCGTCGCCGGTCCTAGGCCTGCTCTTCTTCATTCAGGCGCCCCGCGCGAGGACGGCGCCTTCTTCCCTCCTCAACCCCGCCCGCGCCTCGGACCGCCTCCCTCCTCCCTCTCCAGGCGTGGTTCCTGGGCCTGCTCATGAACGGCTTCATGATGCCGCCCGAGGACATCATCTGGCCGATCCGCATCTTTGCGTACGCTCTTCCTCTGCGCTGGCAGATCCAGGGGTCCACCTACATCCTCTGGGCGATGGGCGACCATACCTACGGCGGGACTGAGCGGTGTGTCTTCAACGCGACCGGCGAGGGCGAGTGTTCGCAGGGCTTCTTCTGCCCGGATGCCCCGCCCACGTCCTGCTACGGCGAGACGGGGGAGGAGATCCTCGACAGCTTCGCCGCAAACTACTCGTGCTTCACTTCGGAGAATACCGTCGCGCTCTGCATGCTCTACATCCTCCTCTTCGCCCTCGTCTGCAAGCTCGTCTACGCGCTCGCCCTCTCCGCCGTGCGCGGTGGCAAGATGGTCAAGCCGCCCACAACGCCTAGGGCGTCTCCCACCACGTCTCCCTCCGTGTCTCGCTCCGCAGACCCGAGCTCGCCTGCGCACCCGGGCCCCCGGCGGGTGCAGCCATTCGCGACGAGACAATCTTGACTTCCGGCCGGCTCGATGTACATTTGTTGTGTGCACACCCCCTCCCGAACATGCCCCCCCCCCCCACCCTAGCCTCTCTGTGGGCGCCAGGCACCGCCGGCCTCGAGCTCTCCGAACGACCTTGTGCAAAATAATGCCCAGTTACGTAGAGTACAGTGTCCAACGAGAGTGCGTACGTTCTCGGGGAAATTTGTTTTTTGCGGGGTGTGTCCCCAGACTGTCACACGAGTCTCGTAGCGCTACTAGTACCCGCTACGCGCGCCGCTAGAGGCATGTTGTGCGAGTATATGGGACAAAACTCAAAAGGGCATTTTTTCGGTGCTGGTAGCCCCCCCAAAACAGGCGCGCGCAGCGCGCCCAAGGGCGCCGCAGGCGCCCCAAGCGGCGCGGAGCGCCGCCGCAGGCGGCGGACAGCAGGTGCGTGAAATTAAACGCCATTTTCGGTTCCGCGGTTTTGCCACTAACATCGAAATCCGGTACAAATCGACTTAGCCGAAACAGCTGACAGACAGACAGAGAGTACACAAGTTCAAACGAGGGTTGCGCCGGTCGCCGCCGCGCACCCACCCGAGCTAGATGGCCCCATAGGACGCCATCTCCCTCTGGGCTCGGCTGGACGCCTCCAGGGCAGCATGGGTACCCTCCCCGACAAAAGCGTCGAAAATGTCCCCAAAAGCGTGTCTCGAGTTTGTTGCAGCCCCACAGCTGGCGCGCGCTGCCAGGAAGCACCGCTCGCGTGTCGGCGGCACTCCCTGGCACCCAGGGAGTGCCGCGAACCGACCAGACCGAATGGGCTCGACGCCGCGCTCGCTGTGGGGCTGCAACAAAGTCGCCGCCGAGCGTGCCACCGAAGGTGTCCCGGCGGAGGTGATGGAGTGTGAGACCTGAGGCTGCGGAGGTGACGCCTGAGGTACCGGCCCGTGCACAGCGACTCAGCCGGCGACCGCCACGGGCTCAGACGAGACTTGTCGACTCGTTACGGCTCAGCTTCACCGTGGTCATCGGGCGTCTGTCGACGTCAGGACCACCCATACAGCTCGCGGGTTTGAGGTCGCAAGAGCCAAGATGGTGGCGTTTGGACATCCCAACCATCACACAAGACAGCCTGTAGGTGATGGCGGGACGGCGCAGTGTTTGTGGCACTCGGCAGTAGGCACCCGCGGCACGGCCCCGCTGTCGGCTCTCACGGGCTGCGGAACCGGCCCCAGAAGGGGACGGTCCGGGCGAGTGTGGCAGCTCCTGCGCTAGTATGGGCACCCTCTATCATAGCACTACTGATCCTGGTCATTAGAGCTGCCAGGGATAGCGTCAGGAGCCGGTAGGAGTCAAAACCTCTCATATTTGAGACATCGTGTCCCATATACTCGCACAACGAGCCTAGAGCCTCTAGACGTAGACCGCCACCGCGCGCCAGCGGAGGGTTCACGCCTCCTTGTTGAAGGCGCCCTTGGCCTTGGAGACCATCTCGTCCAGTTTGAGCGGAAGCAGCTCCTATGCCACACCATACAGGAGACGTGTGAGAGGCGCCGCACCGAATGGCGCCCGCTCCTGCGAGGCGTGGGGTGGGTGGGGCATGCCTCAATCTTGGCCATGATTGCGTTCAGCCCCGAGGCCGGGAAGGCGGTCGATGGCGTGATGCCACCCTCAATCACCGGGAACACCCGATTGATGAACACGCCCGGCGCCGGGCCGTCGGGGCCGTCGATGAAGGATTGGAACTCTTCGGCGCTCAAGGGTTGGGAGGCTTCCCAGATGCAGAATATATCGTCCTGTGGCATGAAGAGACGGGCGTCGGCCGACGCGCGAGCGGTCGCTGTGAGGTGCCGGTCGGGGCCTTGTGCGAGGTGCCGGTCGGGAGGAAGCAATGGTTGTGGACGCCGTTGGCGCGATTCTTAGCGGCGAGGTCGGCCCAGTTGGCCTGGTCAGCGAACTCCCAGAAGGACTTGTGCGCATTCTGGTCCACAAAGGAGTGGTGCACCCAGAAAAAGCTGCCCGTTGACTTGGCGGGAGTCTTGGGAGCGTTGGCCACGCGGATGGGGGCGTGAGCCCAGAGGGGAGGACCCTGAAAGCCTGGGTGTGAGGTTGTGGCGGCTTCGATCCCAAGGGGGGGAGCTGATCCCACTCAGTAACCAACTCTCAGGGGCAGTAGGTGGGCGAGCCTCGAGCGCGCTCATCTCGATCGTGAAGGCGTCGCTACGCGCGGTCTTCCGCGGGGGGAGCTGCGTCGACGGGTGCGGGACCGCGGCGCAGCCAGTGCCGCGGCGAGGCCTCCGGCTGTTTGCGGCGGGCGGCTTGCTGCTCGCTGCATGGCGAAAAACTCGTCTCGCCACACGCCAAGGGCTTATGCTCTGGCGAGACGTGAGGCGCATGCGCCCAGGAGGGGAGGGCGCATGTGTAACGACACTGCTAGAGATGCCTTTCGGGGCCCAGAGATAAAACTTCTGTGATGCCATGCGTGACCTAGTAGTGTCCCCAGCTATGGGCGTGTCCACGTTGGAGCCAGGTGTGGTGTGGGCGCGAGAATAGCTCCGCCGTTCATGGAGGCAACCGATGCGAGTCGACTGGTGTGTGTCGTCGTGGTTTCGTATCAAGAATTCTCTCTCTCTCGCCGCCACCACACAGGGATTTTAAGGAGAGGAGTGTGGTGCTAGCCGTCGCCCACCCTAACCTTTGGTCGTCTGCCTCTTGACACTGGACACCAACGCGGCGAGGATGGGCCGACGTTTTCTTCAGGGGTGCGAATTCTTTTTTTTTGCTC